ACTCTTTCCTGCTTATGCAGGGGGTCGGACTCGATGATCTATTGAGGTCCCTTCCGACCCTAACATCTATGAATCTATGAATCTATGACCTGCTTGTGTCCTGACTCACAATACCTCGGTTTGGCCCTCCTCTGATCCCATCTTGATTATAGAGGATGTATATTGTTCCTTAACATAGAAAGCAACATCCCCTCCTTTTCCTCCACTCTATCCCATCTGTACAACCTGTAACCCTCAATGACTACTGCCCAATTGTGAGTAGGGTTCCATCAGGTTTTAGTTAGTCCAGGTTGAAGTTGTTGCTTGCAAGAAGGAGTGCAAGTTCCTGCTTGTTTCCCATGCTCCTAGCATTAGTGTAGAGACATTTAAGTCCCCCGATGGGCGCCCTTAGTACCCCTGTCCTGATGTCTATTGGGCCCCTGATGTCTATTGGGCTTACCTGGGCTGATCCAGTGCATTGCTCATGGCTCACTGATCCTAGGTTCTCTTTATCCTCTGCTTCCCCATCCCCTGATGAATGTAGTTTAAAGTCCTTTGGAGATCAGCCAACCTGTAAGAGAACAGACTCTTACCTTTAGAAGAGAGATGCAGACCATCTTGTCCGACGATGCCTCTCTCATGCAAGTGCGGATTGTGGTTGTAGAAGCCAAAACCCACATGATGGCACCAACTCTAGAGCTGCAATGCATATGTGGAAAGTCAGACCTGTATGAAAAGGTTCCATACACATGTCTATATAATTGCTCCCAGTCAGGAGCAGAAAACATCTTATGACTCTGATCAGAGCATAGAGACCCCTCTCTCAGTGACTCATTTTGGCCCCAAAAATACACTCAATGGAGATGTTGAAGAACAAGCCATGTCTGCTGGGCTTGGAGCAACAGCCAAATACATCTCATAGCCATGGGCCCCAACTGGGCCCAGGAAGAACTGGAAGATTTGATTGATATTTGGGGGACGGAAACATTCTGGAACAGCTGGAAAATCGATGAAATAAACTAGTCTATGCATCCATTGCCGAGGAAACGAAGGAGCATGGCCACAACTGGGACTGGGCACAGTGCCACAGCAAGATGAAGGCCCTGAAATGTGCTTTCCATTGGGCCAAGTACCAGAATTCTCATTTAGGGGCAGGACACACAGCAGCCCCATTCTATGAACAGCTGTCCTGCATTTTCGTGAAGGATGCAAGTGACACTTGCCTCCAATCCTTTGACATGACAGGGTTGCAGGATGCCACAGCATCACCTAGCCCGCAAGAGTCCACAGACTGTCCTGCCACTGCAGCAGGCAGTGCAATATGCACTGCAGCCTTCAGGCAATCAGTCAGAGGTGGGGGGTGAGTACTCACAGAAGGTGCATGACAGGGAGAACCAAGACAAAGTTGTCTTGACCAAGACCCCAGTCTCCCCGATGCTTTTCCTGCATAATGCAGAGGAGGAGGATGGGTCATATTCTACAATGGTACCATCTCTGGATTTGTGCAACACACCAGAAATTCCAGAGACCTAAAGATCAGTGTTGGTGCTGGAGACGCCTGAGGATCCATGCCCCAGGACTTGTAAGTTATGGGGAAGGGGCATTAGATCAGTTTGGGCAACTAGGGCTTATGCCGATCTAGCCCCACTTTTGTGCCAGGGCCAAGTGCAGTGAGGCAGGAGGGAGGATGTTAATTTTGTTAGTGGCAACTATGTACATTGATTGCAGTTGTGCAGTGTTTCACTTACATGGGTGTGGACATGATGGGCCCTCTTTTAAAGTTGCTTCCGGAGGGAAGCGTTAATTCATTTAGTTGAAGGAATTTGTGCTCCTGAGACATGTACAATAAACTCCTTAGTGGACTGGGGAGACATCTGGATTCCTGCATAATCATTCTTTCAAAGTGACTGTATTAATTCTGCACGTGGCAGTGATGTTGTTTGGTTATCACCAATAGTCCAGGCACTACAAGGAGTGGGGACAAGATCTTTGACTATGAAGACTTATTTTTTTTCCCATTCCTGTTACTAGCTACTGCATCAGCTGGAATTTTGGGACATTTGCTTGAAACGCAGACTCCAGCATGGACTGGAGCTGAGCAAATGCATGAACATTAGGGGTATGTGAAATGGCCTGTATTCAATTTGGATTCAGATTCAGCCCAAATCAGGTACAGTGATTCTATTTGTTGATTTGGGTCACTGTCCCAATTCAATTCGGCTAAATCCGAATTTGAAGATTTGATGCTGATTTGGAGAACCAGTGATTTGGCCATAGACACAGCTTTAAATGTTTTTTCTACATAACTCAAGGTAGCAGGTGTGGCTCGTAAATGCTGCCATGGTGGGGTGGATGGAGCACCCTACAACAGTGCAGGGCCCCACTCCCCACATGCTTAGCGGTGAACCCAGAAGTGGACTGAAAGTACTTCCGGTCCACTTCCGGGTCCGCTGCCGAGAGCGGCACCCCCAGTTCAGCGATCAGCCATGGGGGGATCCCGGGTGCCCCCCCAACCCAGGAGGCATCAGATGCTGAGCTGGGGGGTGGGGGGGTCCCACGCATGCTCCCCAGCAGACCTGGAAGAGGACCGGAAGTAATTCTGGTCCATTTCCGGGTCCACTTCTGAGTATGCTAGGGACCCCCCACACACTCCCATGGAACATTCCATCTGCCCCAGCATCTCAGCATTCATGAGCTGCCTGATACCTTGAGGTATATAGAAAAAACATTTAAAGCTGTGTCTATGTGCAAATCATTGAATCTCTCTGAATCTCTCCAAATCGATTCAGAGGTTTCCAATTCTATTTGGAGAGATTAAAGGGTCTCCTGATTCAATTTGGATTCAGAGATTTGGTTGCCAAATTGGGCTGAATCTCTGCTGAATCAAATCAGTGACCGAAGCTTCACACAGCCCTAATGAACACTGCCACAGGCAGTGGTGGTCAAGAGAAAGCCTGATGGAGGCTTTGGTGGAGGCCTCTTAATCATGAGTACAGTCAGCAAGTGAATGGAAGAATTAACTCTGGGAGGTGCATAGAAAGGTTGAAGAGCAAGAGGCAGCAGCTCAGCAGTACATCATAGCCAGCCCAAGGGAATTTCTTGACCTGGCTTGTAATTGCTTTCAGAACATCTCCTGGAGTTGGTGAATGGAAGGTAAGTTTAGATGGTAGCTCTTTAGATGTATGACTGTGGCCCCCATTCATGAGCTGCTCCCCCCAGGACCACCCATGTGACATCCACTGTGTGTCCCTCTATCTGTAAACTGACCCTCAGAGATACCCCTATCCATGATCAACCCCCACACAGCAACATCCTCAGTGACAGCCACTGTGCCTTCAAGTGAGGGGTGCCCCTACTCTAGCAGGACAAGGAGAGTGCCACAACACTTTAGGGATGAAAGAGAGGGTAAGACAGAGTGGGCACGGGGTGGGGGAGGTGGAGAAGAGCCAATGATGGGCGCTGGGTTTTTAGTTGTTAGTGTTGTGCTGATGCTTCTGTAGCAAGGAGGGAGTGGGCATTGTTTTCCTGTGTTATTTCAGTTCTGTTTCAGTTAATGACAGTAAAATAAATATTTTGGTGAAATTAAATTGAATTTTTGTCCACGTTTGTTTGCTGACACGGGAAGGGTTGTGGAGGCGTGAGTTGGGTGGGGGGAAGTAAGCCAAACCAAAGAAAAACAGGCTTGTTTCAGACACATTGCACTAATGTGTCTGAAACCCACCTCTAGACTGAGCAGGGGGGGTTGCCCAGAATGTGGGTACCACAGGGTACAGTAGTGAGCAGTAATCAGGGCTGCTGCAAATTCCCTCTGAGTGCATGCAGCTTTCCATCATTCCCCGGCCACCCCACCCAAGGGGGGAGGAGGGGCTTTCAAGTCCTGGGCTTTTATTATTGTGACCAGAGAAAGACACAGTGGCCAAACCAAGGCTGGTTGGTGGTGGACTGGCCCAGAATTTAGTAATGCAGGGACTGCTAAATTGGGTGGGAGCTCTGAGCACATCAAGTTCAGAGCACTAATTGGGTTGGTCCTCCGACTACGTCAAGCTTATCAGGTGTCAGAAGTTGAACCAGACGGTTGACAGTGTTAGAGATCAGAACAACTTCAAAACCAGTCAGGCAGACTTGACAAAATTCTAATTGCCAATACAAGCCAGCAAAAGCCCTCCCCACACCCTTCTACAAGCAAGCAGACACCACCCACCCCCATCTACACCCCCCTCTTAAACAGAGGGAACATGAAGTGAAGAATTGAACAAAGCAGATAGAAACCTTTATTTATAAACCAGAAATTAAACAAACCACAAAGCAACTTTTATAAGATAGTGATGCATGATTACTACATAACAGGAATTTCTTTTAACTACCGTAATGGTGTGTGAGCCATAGGAAAAAAAAAAAAAAAAAATATCAATCTAAACAATAATAATTTCTAAGTAAAAGAATTTGGCTGTAAGTTGGACTTTCAGAGTTTGACTGAGAATGTGTGGCTGACAGAGCACACTGGCCTGTGCTGCTCCCTGCAGGGACAGGAGGGGGGCCAGTCATTATTTGCCAGTCCTGCCGGGTCTCAGAATGCCTCCTTTCATGCTGGATGCCATGAATCTACCATAGCCAGATGAAGCTGTCTCAGCCAATGCTTGCAGTCCCATGGGGCATTCATGACCATGTTGGTTTGTGCATCAGCAGCAGCCTGCCTCAGTAGCCTGTGTATCATTGGCTGCAGCGTTGCAAGCGGAGCTTTTAAAAAAGAAAAAGAAAACCAAAATCAAGAAATGCGGGAAATAGAGTGAATTAAGGATGCTCAGCATTCTAAAAAGACACATGCAGGGAATCTTGTGAACAGATACGCGGTTGGCCCAAAATGAACAAAAAGGGATGGCTGGTAGCAGGCCCTGACTGGCTGAAAACAAGTGAACACCTGCTGTGGCCACCGGTGCGCCTCCTTGCTGTGGGTTGCCCTGTAGCTCCATGCACTGCCCACTAACTCCCTGGGTCTTTAAAGCATGGTCCTACGCCATCCCCCTCTCCCTTCACCTCACAGCCCAGCCTAGTTGCAGGTGTCAGTTCAAATGACAGGCAACTTAAAGGGTCCCCAGGTGTGGAGGTCAAGTTTCATGGTCTATCCACCTCAGAGGAAGCAGGAGGTGACATGAGTGGGACCCTTCCACTATTTTCTCAACTGGAGCCCTGCAAGTCACAGCGGTGGTTGGCAATGTCTCAGCACACAAGGACACCCTGGAGGCCTCTGTCCCTGTGCATTCATAGCAATTCAGTACCTCCATTAGTGGCTGGAAGCATCTGTAGTGGGTCACATCATGCAGTGGGGTACCCTGCCACTGTGCTCTGGTGACATTCCTGTGGAAGACAGCCTGCAGCATCTTTGCTTTAGGCCAGCACTACAGTGCTGTCCTGTTGTGCCCCTGCTGGCCCATTTTCCTTGCAACATCAAAGTATATGTGCCAGTTGGCCCATGGGCTGCAGATGAACTGGCACACAATCTCAGGGTCCCCCAGCACCCGCACCAGATTTTTTGTTTCTGCAGAGATCCAATTGAACCTAGAACTGTGTGCCTTAGTCTGCTCCATTCTCCCCCAAACATCAGACATCTCAGAACAATAAAGGGTACTCAGGGGAGTGGTGTGTTCAGTTTATAAAGTCTTGAGGTGACAAAGCCAAGGGAAGTTCACCCCTCTCCCACCTTGTTGTGTCTGGGCAAAGCTTAGTTGCAGAGGATGTCTGCTGTCCATTGCAAGTTTTGGCACCAGTCAGCAGTGCTCACATGGCACATGCTGGTGGCAGGCAGGAAGGCTTTGTCTACACCAGTGGCAACTTTTGGTATTTTATGGGCATGTTTGTTCTGGATGTGTTTTAGCCTTGCGAGGTCCTTTAGCCCCGTGTATGCCATGGCACAGTAGCAGGCTGCCCAGTGACCCATCATGTATCAAGACATCACTCCCAGCAGGACATGGTCTGAAATGCTAAGCAGTTCAGACATAGCCAGTGAGGGAATGATTTGCTGACAGAACTCACTCGCTAGTCATAAAGTGGGCATGCTAAGGCTCATAATCAGGTTCACAGAACTCTGCTTTTTGGGTTTACGTAAAACCAGTGAGTAAATTAATGGCATTAGGGGGACAATTACACTGAAGTTAGCAAAAAAGGGAAGTTTTAGAGGTGCAGGGGCACAGGGGTTCATCAGGGCTGTTACCATAAGATACCACCAGGGTGAGCCAGGAAAAATGTCTGCCTTCCTGGAACTGCAGGTCAGCTTTGGGGGTGGGGAAGGCTGCATACAAAAAAAAAAAGGTTATGATGCCTGCAGGCTAGTATCCATGATCCTGAGACTAGGCACCTACTTACTGCTTTTAATGGCAAATAAAACCATACTCTGCAGCCCACTTTACATGTGTAAAGTGTGATGCCATTAAGCCACACAAGGGGAAATTTTCATCACGAGTACATCATCTGGGTGTCACATGTACAAGTGCCCATAATCTGTGCTCATCAGGAACATTTAAGCTACATGTCCCAAAGCAGTCCAAGGTTAATAGAAACTGGGACTACAGAGTTCTCAAGACTGGGCCCTCACTACTCTCACAAAATTCTCCTAAGCTTGTGTCTTTCCTCATTCTCTGTCCTATTCCTTTCATCTCATTCCTGCATTCTTTCAGCTCATTTCTTTTCATTCCTTTCCAACTGTGCCTTCACCTGTGTAGCCTCATTTAGGTGTAACGTTCATTTATTTGAGTGTATGCTTTAATATTTATGGTAGTTAAAACAGTTTTAGCATCTGCATGTTAATACTGTGCATAACAGATGGTAATTTTAAGTTTATCATTTTCAGTTTTTGAAATGGGAGGTTTGTTCTGAACAATAAAAATAAATATAAAACCTAAGAAAATAGATTCATTAATACAGTTACCTCCTTAAAATACTGTAGTAGATGAAGAGGAAGTATAAATTCTCTTAGGTTTCTGCCATTTTGGTTTACTAAAATGAAATTTAAAAGCAGACTAAAATGTTGCTTTCTATCATGAAAAATGTAAGGGAGTCAGAAACCCAAACATAATTAGAGGAAGTTGAACCAGTGAATCTCTCTGGATTTTTTTAATTCCTTTTCATGTCTAGGTTTGTCACTAAATTACATTATAAAAACAAGAGCTTCTGCAGCAAAAGGAATCTCAAACATCTTATTTGCGCTTTCTGGCTCAAAGTCTCCTTAGAGGTTTATTTACTCAAGATAGAGTTACATGGTTGAAACCATCTTGTCAATTAAGAGATAACATTTGACTCCAAACACATTATTCTTCACAGGCATTTTATCACTGTTCCTCCTTGAATGTTCTTTTGTTTTATTTTACTGCTGTAAATTACATGCAGCAATTAACTGTAACTTGTTCAAAACTAAATAATTATATTAAGAAATGAATCCTATAACAGTGCATACAAAAAACAGGGATTTATATTTCAGTTACAAATGTAAGTTTTAGTAAAGAATCCAAGCTGGGATTTTTCAACAGCCTAACAAGTTAGGTACCCAACTCACATTACATGTGACTGTAAATCCCTGTGGACCACCCTAATTTCCATTGACATGTATCTCCTGGTTTGTCTTTTTTGTGAGGGCTTGATCTTCTGCTTAGTTAAGTCAGTGACAACTTCCATTGACAAGAATGATGCAGGATCAAGGTCTAAATTTCAGTGTTGTGAAGTTCATCTTCATTCTTATCCTAAGCAGCATAATCATTCATGAAGATCTTATATATAAAGCCTAGATCCTATTCCAGTCTCTAAAACAAAATAGCTTCTGGGAATTGCCTTTAGTATGGAATGGGGCTATTTCCATCCTGTTATATGCTGATTACTATAAGTCACAGCAGGGTCCTACAGGAGGGCCATGATTTCCTCAAGGCCCCCTTCCCGTGCCAAGTTGGCCCAAGGGCACCCTCACATTCTCGCCCGCCACGTCTTTGATGTTCCAATATATTAGGGAGGCTGCCTTTACACCATCTTGGTCACTTCTCGATGGATCCTAAGACCCCGTGGTTTCCTGGACCCCTTGTGGGTCCCGCTCTACAATGGGTGCTTCAGGGGCACCCTAGCCTTAGGGGCTATGCGTGGCTCCAGCCACCCCTTTACCACACCCCAAGCCTTGCAGATAGAATAGATGTTGTTTGGTCTGGGTCTACACCCTTTCTGTGGTGCTCGTGCTTTCCACGGCCCTGTCTCTCTCTGCACCTTCTCTCTGGCACGTGGGCTCTCTGCGGCCCTCTGTCTCTGCACCTTCTCTCTGGCTCTTCTCCACAATGCTGCCCCCTTTCCTGGGGCTTCTTAAGCACAGCCCCCCTCTCCTGGGGCTCTTCACTGCCCCTCTCCTCTCGGCCTTCTCAGTAATGCCGCCCTCGCTCAGGGCTCTTCTCAGTAATGCCACCCCCTTCTCTGGGACTCACCATGCCCGCACTGGGCCCTCTCTGTAATGCTGCCCCCTCTCGGGGGCCCTCTCTGTAACACTGCCCCCTTCTCCAGGGCTGGGGGTCTGTGCACCCTGAATGCTGCACCCTCGCTGGCAGTGAGGTTCCCACACTGCTGTGGATCCCCTATGAGGCCTCCTCCAACCCCTAATAGCCTCACCCAAACCACTGGTGATAAAACAGCAAAACAAATGCAAGCCCTTTGGCTATAACTTAAACTGAAGCCTCCCAGCTATAACCATGTTCAAGCCTACCGGAGATTCTTCACCTCACAGCCGTGTCAGACACTGCTCCTTCATCAGGCTTCACTTCTCTTCCACAGCAAGGAGCTCCTTCCTCCTGGGCTGCTGGCAGGGAACTGCTTCTGGCCTCAGCTCCTAGGGTTTATAAGGGAGCCAGGCCCTGCCCCTTTCAGTCAGCTGACTGCTGGCAGGTGTGAGTCGCTTGCTATCTCCAGTTGCCCTGGCAACCAACAGCTGGGCACCTTACTCACTGCTAGGGGTCTTTCTCTAGCAGTTTCCCCTCTTTAGGAGCAGGGCACCTAAGTGCCCTGTGACACTATATTAACCAAGTTACCACACCTTTTTATCTACAGCTCAGATTATAGATAGAGGTTGCTATTTCTGAGATACCACTTTGTATCCATATGGACTTAAATACATTGGTGCTGTAACTTTAATAAAAAGTGTACAGAACCCATTAATTTGGTATCTTATTTCCCATCAAGATTCTGATTTACCAAAAACATTCAGGCATCATCTGAAGGGTTAGGCCCCAAATGCAAAATTCACCCAAGTTTGGCTTATGGTTAATAGGTCTGTCATGAGCAGGGATCCTGGTTTTACGGATAAAAAAATCACAAATTCTCTGATAAAAAATTGCAAATTCACTGATAAAAATCCCAAAATCCATGGTTAAAATTAAATGTTTCCCCCAGCCCCCCCAGCCCTGCTTGTGCCACTTCCCCCCCACCCACAGCCCCTGCCCCCAGCCTTGCTGGAGGGAGCCCCAGCTGCCAGGGCTATGGGGCCAGGGACCCAGGTCCACAGCTGCCCCCACCCAAAAGAAGACAGAGGCTGCTGCAGCAGGAGCATGAGCCAGCTTCCCCCTTGCTTCCTACCTGCTGCAGGCTCAGGTAGTGCTGGTTCCCAGCTGCAGCATGCACTCCCAGGGGGGTAGAGGGGACCTGTACCCCCAAGATCTGTGCAGGGTGGGGGCAGGTGTGTGCATGCTGCAGAATTGTGCTCCCACCCTGCTGCCCTCCAGAGTGCAGTGTGTGCAACCCAGTGCAGCAGCATACAGGGGGATGTGCATGAAAGCTGCCCACTGCTGTGAGCTCCATGCTGCCCTGGCCACACTTACCCTGAAGGTGGGGGCAGCAGCAAGGGGCACAACCCTGCTCTGCCCTGTGCACATAGAGGAAGCATGGCCCGGGAAGCTTTCCTGCATGGCCCTGCTGTGCCCTGCTTTGCCAGTTGCTCACGCTGTGATCTGGAGGGCCTGGGGGAGGGCACCAGGGTGGGAAGCACAGCGTTTGCAAACAAGGGTTTGCAGCTGGCTGGGCACACTAGCAAGCGGTGGGGTTTTGCAACCTTCCTGCTGTCAGCCACAGTGCCCGGGCAGCTGCAAAATCCACCCCCGCCCAGCCAGAGGCAACCTCCACCCCCGCCCAGCCAGAGAGTGCCCAAGCTGGCTGGGGGCTGAGGTAGTGGGGAGGCTGCAAACCCCCTGCCTCCCAGCTGGAGTGCCAAACCAGCTGCAAACCTCCCTGCTTCTTCAGCCCCAATCAGCTTGGGCGCCCTGGCTGGGAGCGGGGGAGGTTTGCAGCCCCTGGGTACTCCAGCAGGGGGGCAGGGATTGCAGCCTCTCTGCTCCCTCAGCCCCCAGCCAGTTTGGGCACTCCCCAGCTGGGCACTCTGGCTGGGAAGGGAGATTTGCAGCTGACTGGGAGTGGCGGTGGTTTGCAGCTGGCCGGGCAGTCCAGCTGAGAGTGGGGAGGCTGAAAACCTCTCCCGGCCAGAGTGCCCAGTTAGCTGCAAACCTCCCTGATCCCTCAGCCCCCAGCCAGCTTTCCCCACAGCCCTGCCCTGCCCCACAATCCCCAAGCCCCACTTACCTCCAAGAAGAATGAGCCTGAAGCAGCCTCTGGTAAGTGTGAGCACTGGGCCTCCCCCTTCCCCCTCTCCCTTCCCCTCTGGATGGGGTTGCGGGTTTTCCTGTGCTTTTTGCAAACAGCTCTTGCAGGCTGGGACTCAGCCAGGCTGCAGAGCTCTTTGCAAAAGGGGGAAATCCATGGGTTTCTCTGCTAAAAGAGAAAATCTGCTTTTTTCTCTGATAAAAATGGGAAATCCGTGGTTTTTTCTGTTTTTCCATGCGAAACGGAAAACCTGGATCCCTGGTCATGAGATCACTAAAGGATGAGATCACAACATATCTATTTAGGGCAAGTATGAGGGACACCCTCAACTAACCTGGGCAATATGAACCTTCCTTCTCTACCAACATTATTTTGCTATATACAGGAGAGATATGTGTTGAGCTGACTGATTTCTACAAGGGTTGTGCTTGAGGAACTGGAAGCTTCCCTAAGCAGTACCTTTCTAGGAATCAGTTTGTCCATTGCCTGTCTCTCTTTATATACTCCTAAACAATTACTTTGTGTCAGTTTTCCACCAGTCCAAGGGTGTTACCCTACTTGACAGGATACAGGACAATCAAGGTGGGGGTGATCACCCACCAACAGTTGGCAAAGATATCATGAGGGAACTTCTAGAGAGGCTGGATATCTACAAGTCAGCAGGACTGGATGAACTGCACCTGAGAGTGCTGAAAGAATTGGCTGATGTCATCACACAACCTATGTCAAACTATTTGAGAACTTGGGAGAGGTTTCAGAAGACTGGAAGAGGACCAATGTGGTGCCTATCTACAATAAAGGAAGGAAGATGGATCCAGGGAATTACAGGCTAATCAGTTTGACCTCAATCCCTAGAAAAATCCTGGAAAAAATTATCAAAGAATCCATTAGCAATAGGCTTACAGAAGGCAACCAACTAATAGATAGCCAGCATGGCTTCATTTGGAGCAGGTCATGTCTGACCAACCTCATTTTCTTCTGTGATCAGGTAACACGCTGCCTGGGTAAGGGAGATGAGGTTGACATCATTTACTTGGATTTCAAAAAAGCCTTTGACTTGGTTTCCCATGATGTGCTCATGATAAAACTGAGGAATTGTGGCCTCGATAACCCAATGGTCCAGTACCTAGAAAACTGGCTCCAAGGCAGGACCCAAAGAGAAATAATAAATGGAACTGAGTCAACATGGTGCTTGGTGACCAGGGGCATCCCTCAGGGGTCAGTACTCAGACGGGTGCTTTTTAACATATTCATTAATTATTTGGATTCAGATGTTAAAATTAGATGGGCAAAGATCACAAATGAAACCAAATTATTGGGGACTGGGGTCATGCTGGAGGATAGGCTAGGGATACAGGCTGACCTGGATAGGCTTATAAGGTGGGCGTATCAAAATCTGATGATGTTCAACACTGAGAAGTATAAGGTACTCCACCGGGGAGAAACAACCTGTAACATGCTTACAGGCTTGGTAGTGCTACACTTACTAGCACCGCAACTGAAAGAGACCTGGGGGCCTTGATAGACCATAGAATGAACATGAACCAACAATGTGATGCCATAGCTGACAAAGCAAACAAAACACGGGCACGTATCTATCGATGCATCTCAAACAAGACTAGGGGTGTCATCCTTCCACTTTACTCAGCCTCAGTGAGGCTGCAGCTGGAGTACTGTGTCCAGTTCTGGGCACAACACTTCAGGAAGTAGGTGGAGAGGCTTGAGAGAGTCCAAAAAAGGGCTACATATATGGTTAGAGGTATGGAGAGTAGGCCATATGATGAGAGGCTGAGATATTTGGGTCTATTCAGCTTGGAGAAGAGAAGACTCCAAGGGAACTTGGTGGCAACCTATAAGTATATAAAGGGGGCACATCGGGGACTGTGAGAACATCCATTGACCAGGGCTCCCAAGGGGAAGACTAGGACTAATGGTCATAAATTACTAGGAGACTGGTTTAGATTAAACATAAGGAAAAACTTCTTTACAAGTCGAGTGTCTAAGGTCTGGAATAGACTCCCTCTCAGAGGTGGTACAACCACCTACTCTAGACATCTACAAAAAACATCTGGATAATCACCTTGCTGGGGTCATCTGACCCCAGCAGTCTTTCCTGCCTAAGCAGAGGGGGGCTGGACCTGATGATCTCAAGAGGTCCCTTCCAGCCTCTAACATCTATGAATCTATGAATATTTTGCTCACATTACAGGCAGGAGAGATGGGAAGTGGGTTACAGAAGGACTATAAGTCAGGCCCAGGGAACTATGGAATTGGTGCTGGAGAACTGCCTGTTGTTTTGCCTTTATGGGTGAGCATACAGCATATTTAGCAGGTGGTGGTAGATTAAGGGGAAGAATCTCAGGCCCTGGAATTCTGCAGAGCTACCAAGGACATATTGGATTGCTATCTGCAGGTAAGTTAATGGAATCTTAATGAAGATGATAAATGTTTGGGCCTAGATAATCATATAAATATACCCTGAGTTCTATCAACTTCATAATTAAATTTGTGCATCAAGATGCAGTGGTTTAAACCCTGCTTCGCAGTCTCCAAAACTCTAATACTGTACTACAGCATGGTGAAAGGTTGATGTCAACCACAGCTAGCTTGCCTGGGGGACTTAAAATGCATTTTTCCCCCTCTGATGTTGTTTGTTTTTCTTTTTCAAACATTGGGCCTCATTATACTATCAACCTCCATGTACAAGCACTGCATCTTCTAAGATGTGAAAGGGTGTAACATTATAACAACATTAATAAGAGACTAATTGTAAACTGAACTGCATGAATCATGATTTAAATAGAATGTACACCTTGGAGCCATGGAGCCTATCTCAGAGTGTAAGTTGTTACTTACAAAGTGCCCTTCTTTAATTACTTTTACAATTGCTTAAATGTTATTCAAGCCATGTATGTGTAAAGCGATGTATACTATAAGTCAGGGATTTTCAGCCTCTGCCTTGCAAGCCAAATGTAGCCTTTTGAACCATGGTAACTGGCCCACAGGGCTCCTCAATGGGCTTACAGAAGGCAACCTTTCCTGTTTGGGAAATTTGGTGGTGGGGGAAGTGGTGGCAATTATACTGCTACCCTTCTCCACTTCCAAATTCCCAAACCACAAGCCTCAAGCCCCATGTGATGGTTGACAGTTGGGCCATACCCCCTCTCCCACCAGGGGCTGGACTGAATAATAGAATCAGAAAATTAG